CCTTTGCGAATGTGGGAGTAACTCTGGTCGATGCGTCAGCACCACCCACTTCACAGAAAGCCTCGCTGAAGGAGCCTTTTAAAATCTGTTCCATGTTTTCATCGTAGATTTTAGTGGCCCTTCTATGACCTAAACCTAAGTTCAACTCCTTTGCAAACTACATCTTTTCCCCATTCCTTGACAGAGGTAGGATCATCAAAATACAGTGGAGCGACTGTCTCTACAGAGAGTCTCAGCACATCTGCGTACATGCTGGTCAGCTTCTCCTTCACATCAAGGGCCAATATGCCAAATCAAGTGTTTGCCTGTCAATGACTTGATTATAATATAAAGCTATTTCTCAGTAGCATTACTTTCTCGGCAAAGTTTTCCTCTTCGTCATCCAGTTTGAAATGATTGCAAAGGGATGGAGTTGTGTCCATATTAATTATGGCTTAATTACGGCTTCCCACATGGCTTCCCACACCCAAATCTGCACTGGTTTCTACACCAGATTGATAAATGACGGCCGTTGTGTGTTTAAATATTAAAGAGGTCATATTATGCCCTTTTGGGGTTCATATATTTAATTTACGTGCCTACTAAAGTATATTCACAATTGCTAAAGTTCGAAAAAAGTGTCTTTTTTCATGTGCTGCCGCTCCTTGCACCCTCTCTGCTCTGACTCTGTCTGCAACGCTCTGTAGTGCCCACGTTCTTAACATCACACAGCAGTTGTACAGATACAGCCGCAGCATACTGCACATTACCAGCATTGTCAAAGTTATACTTTGTTGTTGCAAATAAAGGTTGTTTAGTTAAAAAGACATTTTGTAACTTGTTATTAACTCTGTGTGTTGCCCCGTGGGGGGCCTCACCCTGGCCAGCCTGTGTTTCCCCACCCCCTCTTGTGTTTGTCTGCTCCTGTTAGTGTTTGTCTGTTTGGCAGGCGTGGCTCATCACTCTCCAGTCCTGCCTCCTTACCTGGTCAAGCCTCTTCATCTCCTCCTCCTTGCTGCTCACCTGTATCCAATTACACAATCAAGCCTGCAGTGTTCATAAACCCCGGTTTTTCTTCCACTATCTGTCAGATTGTCTGCTCACCACTAGTGGGAGCTAGAGCCGGCCTCTTTTTGATCAAACAGACTCTGCTAGTTTGTCCTGAAGATTTTGCTGTTATTTAATACTTGTCTCTTTTTTCTGCCCTATAGTGTTTTTTGCCTGCCTGCCTCTCATTTTGGACATTAAACCACCCTTTACACCAGCACCTGTGTTTGTCTGTTGCTCTTGGGTCCAGCCTTAATTGAAACTGTAACAATTTTCTTATCTGGCTTTAACCTACACACAATGTTTTTGAATGTAAATGCTGTAAAAGCTTTCTAACTCTTGTGAATTAGATAAGATAATAAGATAATCCTTTACTGATACCCAGTGGGGAAATTCAAGATTAGCCCATCTGTCACATTATAAGGCTGCATAATTTAGGCTATTATCTTTATATTGAAGCAGCATTTACACTCCTCAACACTGCACCACTGCCATGGAGGATTGTCTATATATAGTTTAATGTGTTTTTTATATATATATATATATATATTGTTAATGAAGAGCAAACTACACCATAGTTAAATTCCTTGTATGTGCACACATGCCTGGTTCATACGGCTCATTCTGAGTCTTATTCTTATTGGATGATGTTGTGACTGTGTGCCACGACTCATCTCACTGAGATGTGGAAGAAGTTGCAATTCTGACTTTGATCAGCTGTAAAGAAACAAAGAAAGCTTTGTCAGGTCATAACATTTGTACTTAGATACATGTTTAGTATCTGACTTATTTATTGTATTGATCTTTTTTAAATATTATGAGTTTGATAACTGCTGCAGGAAGGAATAATTGTTGTTAGATCTTTTCAGAGGAAGCCTCCTCAAAGTTCAGATTTGTATCTCACCGTGTGTTAATAGGTTGTTTAATTGTAATACATGAGTGCCACCATGAGGGGGAAGACTAACAACAGTCATCTCTTGTGAATCTGTCTGCTGTCGCTCAATAAAGCATAATCAACAAAGCTATGTTTTTATCTATTTCGGTTTTGGCAGACATCCGCTTTAACATGAGGAGTCAGTTTCACACATCCTCACACGAGTTACAAATAATAAAATTCTTCTTCAGGATGTTCCTCACAACCTCTGTTGATCAGTAACAGCTCAAGTACAGATTGTTCCAGATGAGGGACGTTAGACACGTCTTGTCACTTGTTACCTAGGTTACTCATTTGATTTAATGGATGCTGATGGAAAGATGAGGTTATGAGCAGGTGTGGGCTGCAGCGTTATACAAAGATGATGGTTGTTAGTGAAAGGTAAACTAGATTTAGACATGGACATTTCAAATCTCCACAGATGTTCCAGTGTCAATTAATGGTAAATGTTATGTTTGTGTAGGAGGCATTCATTATAATATATTGTGCATAATTATCCGTATTTTCTTTAATCAGGCCCCAAAGAGAAGAATCGATCCAGCTAGAGAAGCCTGTGAATCTTTGGTGTATTCTCTGTGCTCTCCAGTCGCACCACAGCCTCAGTCTCTGCAACAGCATGGTTGTTGTTTGTTTGTTCTTATATGGAAACAGAATATTTTATCAACCCACTCAGAGGGCCTCAAGGTAATCAGCATTACATAATCTCAGGAAATACCTTATCTGCATCCAGTTTCTCCTCCGAGCTTCCCCTTCTCAAAATTCTACACCTGCCGCCGAGAAAATCCAATATCACAGCTTTGTTTCTGTCTTTTCTAACGTTCTCCCCAGAAATAATTGATCGATGCAGCTATCACTGCGCCGTTGTGCTGCAAGAATTCCTCGTTCTCCTGCAATTAAATCTGCCGTTTCTAATTTTAAAGACAAATTGCATTTGTGTCACACATTGAAATACACTTTCATGAAATACAACCACCATAAAATTGTTGTCTGTTTTGATGGATGATGATGTAGGCCTACATGATGTGCATGCTAATGTGCTCTATAACTGAGTGCCCATTACTTTTTGTTGGTGCATTCCCATGAGATGCAATCTTACTGTCTTGTATAATATGAGATAGCAGCAAGAGGTCTCACAGCAGAGTCATCAACAAGCTTTTCAACTATACAGACTTCATGTAGCAGCAGTCCAATTTAGGTAAAGTAAGGATTTGATAAGTCACATATAAACATGTTAATCTGTGAATATAAAGATACTCATGCTCCACACCTTTTCTCTCTGCTTCCCTGTAAAGATGACAAAAGAAAGTACATGGATTTGATACAGATGTGAGCCTTACCCCTGTAAAATTGAATATATAACACAAAGTCATTCAAAACAAGAAAGTGGTGATTCATCCTCCTCCTCCTCCTCTGCTGACTCCAGCTTCCCTCTGAGCTGTGAGACTTGTCATTTTTGAGTGTTATTTTTCTAAACCCTACAAGGAAACACAAATCTTCCCTGCTGCCAGTTTTGAGGTGAGGTGTCATATGAAAATTGTTTTTTTTTAAAACGTTTAAGTTCCCTTTTCACCTACCTATGGGGACACCATTCACTATAGGATTTAAACCCGGGGATTTAACCCAGACAGGGACACCATGATGTTGTTGTATTGTTGTGTTGCACCGCAGTCTAACGACAATAAAGCTTATTAGTAATCTTTAAAAGTGTCTTTCCATATCTGTCTCCCACATGTTCTTCCATGTTACACCATGCTAAATCAAATGTTATGTTCATCTTAGATAACTGAGATCAAGCTTTACAAGGTCATATAGTCTGCATACAGATTCTTACATTTGACATCCATGCAGATTTGCATTCATTCAAAATTTATTTGGATGCTCATTCTGTCCGTATTCTGACCACTACGAGTGAAAATCCAATATTTAGTTATTTTATCTCTGTTTTGTTCTCCACAAACTCCCGGGAGAAATATCCAAATTCTTTAGATGCTCAGTGCACATCTATGATGACCCGCTTCAGGTAACTTAGTGCGTGTGATGAGTGTGTCTGAGAACTGAGAGAAAGTTCCAGGTTCTGGCCATATTGCATACATAACATTATTTATAGAATAGAATAGAATGTTTTTATTGTCATTATACAATTGTACAATGAAATTATTTGGCTTCACCTTTAAAGTGCACACACATACAAGCATCCACAGCTAAAGACAACAAAATTAGAAAATTAAAAAAAGGAACTCTCATTCAGGTAGGATGGGCAATGCATGGTAGGAGTTATTTACAGGTGGTAGCATAGCAGAATATAACAATCAATAATGCAAACGTATTGCTGAGGGATACTTTGCTGAACTTTAAGGGCATGACAAATTGAATGAGTAACAATTAACTACATTGTAAATATAAAGCATTCCAAGCTGGACATATGGAACAACATCTACCATGTAATAAATCATTGTTTATATGATAGATTCCAGTGCAATATATGCACATGAGGGTATTTAGCATTTCTGTTCTAAATATCCTGTATTACACTATTTTAAACACAAGGTTTTTTTAATACAGAGCCACTAGTGTGAACAATTAATGATACATTTTGCGAACATGATACTTATCTAGTAGAAACACATTTTTATCTTGTGAGCACAAGTAAGATGATTTGTGCGAACAAGATCATTATATTGTATTCACAAGATTGGCTGCATATCTTGTGAGTACAAAATGATTAGCCAATACCGTCTGACATGTGCGAACAAGATAATTATGTTGTGTGCACAAGATGTTTTAAATTTACTTTTTTGGGGCTCTGTAGTTTTATGTGCAAAATTTTCTCACACAAAATAACGAATCCTTGTCTTTCTCAAAAAAATAATTTATGAATATATAGACAGTTATATAGCGTGTTTGGACTGAAACCGAAGTGGTCGCTAAGAACCCCCTAAAGCATATCAGACAGCATGTAGGACGTAGGCTTTTTTTTTTTTATATGAACCACAAATGGTCACAAACTGTCAATCATCCCAATTGGTCCAAACGCCTCAGAAGCCATCATGGCCAATGTGAGGCTGACTTCGCCGCAGTCTCGGGCGCAACTCAGCCTGCCGCCTCGCGTGTCTAAACGCACATCAGTGTCGGAGCTGTCGACAGAATTGACACTGTTCTCTATTTGGATGATCTCCAGGGTTTGCCCGATAGGCGTTGCCTGATAGTCGACCATATGAAGAGCACGCGGAATGTTCCTTCCTCCTCCAGCAGCTGATGTGAGATGTTCTGCTTTTGCCATGGCACGAGGTCTCTTTCCATGGGGGTTCTTCAGAAAGCCTCTGTACGTCCAGGTAAGCTTCTGGGAAATCCTCCACCGCTCTGAGGTAGAGTCCAAATGGGAATATGTGCGCCTATAGGCTTTCTACCGGTAACATCCGAGCGTATAATAGACATACATCGTTTTTTTTTTTCGATTGAAGGCAACCAGGCAATGCATGTTATGGTTTGCACGTTGTCAGTAGATGATGTCATTTGCAGGTGTTACTGGTTGGGGTTCGTTAGACTGAATTATAAAGTCACTTGATGCTCGACGGATCAACCATCCTCCCCGTTGCTGTAGCAACCATGTCCATGATACATCTGGCTGCCACAGCTGATACATTCAAAAGAGGCTGTTTCAAAAGGCTGCAAAAGTTATTATCACCTTACATAACACAGGGCATTTACCTTATTATAGGCTAACTCTATATTATATTGCAATTCCATGTTCACTGCATGAAAATCAGAATGAGAAATTGTATGCTTTGTTTGCTCTGCCATTGTTCTTATAAGGAAACATTGCCAAACTTTCTTGACATGCAAATTAATTTTCTAATCATGAACGTGTAATAGATATTGCATAAAGGCCTGTGTTTGAAGCTGCCCCATGTTCAACCCCGCGTGGGAAGCTTTTGAAGAACGTTATGTAACAGTTGGCTGTGACTGAATTTAGGTGAAGTCTACAGTGGCCTTCCCCATAAGTAAAATTAAACTCTGCAAGGAAATCCCCTCAAGGACATGTGGAGGTCTCAGGAACCCAAATTAAGTATACACAACCGCTGGCTGAGCGGAGATGTAGAAATGCGTCCTTAAACAAACAGTCTTGTAATTGTACCTCGGCCACAGACATTTGCTTCACTAATTGTGGTTTAACAAATGTCTCATCTCGGCTGCTCTGTGTTTTCTCTGCTTGCTCTTGCATATAAGACACAAAGAAACTGTCCAGTGCAGTGAATGGAGGGAGAAACAGGCCATCTCAAGGGACAGCCACCAGCATCGCTTTCTAGGTCACCTCAGCCTTCCAGTGACAACTTAAAGTATTAGAAGTGTCATTCACTGATCCTTGGAGAGAAGCTATTTCCTGTAATCCACAAACTTTAGTCTGGATCAAGAGAAACATGTTTTTTTATTTTTTATTATTAGATTCAATTATGAATATTACGATTAAAAAAAAGTATGCCTGATTTTGTGGTTTTTCCAATTATCGTTTGCTTGATGCAGTGAGAAAGATTATTTTGTCAAAACACAATTTAAAGTCAAAGTATGATAGACGTCATAGTGATAGTAAAAACATCTTGACAGCAATTGAATCTCTCTCACATTTTTCATTATTTTTAATTTTTTCATACCTTTAAAGTTGTACTGTATTGTTGAATTAAGGTTACATATTATGCAAAATGCACTTTACCATGTTTCTCTCACACTAATCTGTGTCCCTAGTCCGTCTACAAACCCCCCAATTATAAGAAAAGTCCATCCTCTCTGTTTCTTGCCTGCTCCACTTTTCACCGTAAAGAATCGGGCATGGTGCAAGTAAGCCAGTGCCTCGTCCCCTTCCAGAGGGGCGTGGTCAGAAACAGCTCATTTGCATTTAAAGCTACAGACACAGAAACAGCCTGTTCTGAGCAGGGCTGAAATAGAGGGGTTTATAGGCATGATCAAATACAGGATCAGAGTGGATATAGAACAAGAAACTTCACAGACATGTTTTAGGGAGCTCTGAGAGAGGAATATAATATGTGACCTTTAATATTTACAAGATATCATCAGCAATGATAAATTAATTCTCTCTAAAAAGGATTTCATCAACTTCTTTTTAATCCGCTCACTTTGTTATCCCTCCTGTCTGGATCCTTGCTTGTTGTGTACGTTGCTTTGGACAAAAGCATCTTCTTAATTAAATTGTAACATTGTATCATTAGCAGAAGATTTACCCTATTCTTCATGGGTGAGGACACATCATCTTTACCTTGAATTCATGTTGCCATATAACCTGCATAATCTGCAGTTTGAAAGTTTGTCCTTTCACAGCTGCTGTTACATACTGCACAAGTTGTCACAACACCAGAACTTTACACTTAGACATACAAAAGGCTATACAGGATACCAGTAAATAAAAATACATTTATATCTGTTTTGATTCCACTGACATACAAAATTGAAAATCCAAGTCACTGAATATTGAGTACATTTGAAAAATAATATGAATGTTTTTTTTTTCTTTAATCACCAAACTCCTGCACAAACATGCACAAATATGTTGGCAACAGTGTTCCCAAATGTGGGAGGGAGTTTCCCCTGACATGAAGATGCAGTCCCTGCAGGAATAAATTAAGCCTTTGGTTATTTAGTCTGTGTCATCTGTGTTTGAAAACCATGTACTTGATGTTTTATTGTTCAAATGAAAGCATCAAGACGCACAATACATCAGCTGATAAAGTCATGTTCACATGTGGGTATGTCGCAGTATTGAGTCAGCATGAAAATGTGAGCTTTGTATGTGTATGAGGGGGTGGAGGGGGAGGGAAGGAGGCGGTGTGTGTGTGTGTGTGTGTGTGTGTGTGTGTGGTGAGGGGGGTTGCCTGCTGTCTGGACAGTGATGAGTCAGATCTTTGTAGTGTCTGTGCACAGAGTGTGGCATCCTTTTTCCAGCTCAGTCTGTGACAAGTGGAGAGGCATGCTAAGCTTCTTCTGGAGCAGAGCTCTTAAAGGTGGTCTTTTCTGTTAACTGTTAACTGGATCACTGACTAACACATGACCTTCTGAAAATATTTTGTCAACGTCAAGGCCAGTCTGCCCTTGAAATCTTCCCCAGTATGCTCATTCACACATGTGACATGTCCCTTAAGGCCCTGACACACCAAGGAGACTGTCGGCCGTCAGTCCGTGGTCGTCACTTTAGTTTTTGCGGTGTGTCCGGCTCCGTCACTGGTCGGCCCCAGTTGGCCTTTTTATGGCCAAGTCCACATGTTGAATTGTCGTGAGCCGTCGCCGACGCCGTCAGCACCACGCACTACGTTGTACTTAGCAGCCATTCTAGTCAATCATTGTGTTCACACGGCGCGCGCTGCGGTCCGTCTCCGGAGCGTGCCACCAACGGCACTGCGCTCTGCTCCGTTTCAAATACGCAGCGAGTCTATTTTCGCCGGAGTACGCTGCAGGCACGCATCAAGCTGGACAGACTATGACAGCCCGGACAGGAAGTCAGACAAAGACTGTTGTTGAATGTTGTTTGCATGTTTTTCTCTTTATTCCCGCGGGATCTCGTAGTTCTCCTGTGATGTGTCATGGGTGCGCTCCGCTGCGCTGACGTCCCACAAACGGATCCAGTGTGAATGGGCGCGAGCCGTCCGACAGAGCAAAACTGTGGCGCTGACGGACCGCGGCGCGCACGGAGTATGTGTGAGTTGGGTGTAAGAATCTCTCTGATTGGCTGTTTAGCTTAGTGAAACAGGAAAGCCAGTGCACGAGAAGAAATACAGAAGCACCTCTTCTATTCTTGTTCCACTAATAAAAGACCAAGGGCTGACAACGCCAGTGTCATTTTCAACTTTTTATCAGACATTATTGGCTGGGAAGAAGACTATGGCTTCTGTACATGGGGTGCAAGTCATAACCACTAGGCTACCGGCACCCGTCACACAAAGGAGTAGCTAGTTTGTGAGCATGAGCATTGATCAATAACTTCAACTAGGGAGGTAGTGACTATATTGGCCCAGTTTAATAAGGAGGTGATATATGATGGTAATTTGTCTGTTAGGGCTGAATGCCTGTCATGCCAGACTAACCTTTTAATACATACTGCGATGATAAGTAGAGTACCTGTCACAAGTGATAAATCGTAGGGCAGAATGATGAACTGAATCAAGTGGTTTATTGTGAAGGCAGGGCATGTCTATCGATGATGTCTCCATAATCCAGGAGAGATAAGGAGAGGGCTTCAGTCATCTGCTTCCATTCCAGCAGAGGATAAGATGAACTCAGTGTCTGTGCAAGTATTAAACGTTTTACTGATCGAGAGTTTGCAAATAAAACATTTAAATGTTAAATAAGATTCAGCCAGAAACCCTGTCAATGCTTTAACCTTCCCAAGTGGTAATGTGGTAAGATATGTCCCCAGTGTCTTTGGCTTTAGTGAACAGCTTGTAATCTGTCTTATTTGCTTTCAGGACTATTTTTTTTTAATTGTTAAACATGAATTTGATTTGCAGAAAATATATTCGGTATCTCCCGTCATTCACTCCTCGAGCCCTCTCTCATTTTATGGTGTCTCTACATTCACGTCTTTCTCGGCTCTGCATTGCAGCCCATTAACCAGCGCTCTCTGAGGGATAGCTTTATAACCATACATAATGGATGAATAGTTTGCAGGCTGCACAAACCAAATGTCACGACAGGCTTTTGATCAGCTCTGATCTCTCTGCCTCAACAGTTCAATGTGAGGTAGCCTGTGCGTACTTGAATGGTTTAATACACAGGCTTCGAAACAGAGCTGTGTGTGGGTTGAGAGGAAGTTCAACCAGATGTAGACCGACTATTTCTTTCTGCCCACCTCAGCTCATGGCCACAGTTCCCCATCATTCTCTAATTAAAAGCTGTCACAGCAGCCACAATCAATATGGCCTCATTAGCCATGTTTGTGTAACTCTTCCCCTTCACAAGGGGTCAATACATAACCCCAGAGATAGAAATGAAACGGCCTGAGTAGAAATGAAAGCCACAGAGTATCGATTACAAAAAGGCTAACCATACATTTGTTTCCCAGCAGAGTGTTATTTCCATAATACTTATGCTGTTGATGCATTTCACCTACGGGAAAAATCAATGGGAACTATATGCAGCACTTACTTGTGTGGTCACTGATGTTAAAGTTGTAGTCAGTCGACATGGTCAGATTTGTAAATAAACCAAACAGTAAACACAGCAGAAATCATACTGAAACAGCGATGGTTAAATCATTGGTAACAACAAAGCGGCACAGTGTTTTGAAGATGAATTGTTTGTACAGGCATCTGTCGTTTCATTAAACAGCAAGATCAGCGGACAGAAAGTAATTCAAAGAGCATTGAGACGACTGTAAGACAACATGTTAGATTTTTGTTGGCTCCGTCTGTAAACTAGAAAACACAAAGGAGGTCTGAGCAGATTGGAATTTAAGCAGCCATCATGAGGAAAGGGATCAGGAGTGTTTGAGACATATGGTGGTCTAATGTCAAATCAATCTAAAACATTCACTCTCAGTTTGAGTTTCAAGCTTGGGTGATTTGTTTTATCAGGGGACCTCTTCTAATTTTGTAATCATCCCTAACATCAGTGTCTGGTGCAGCACATTCACACTGGATAAGCAAAGTCTATAAGTTACTCAAACTTACTGACATTTCTGACAAATGTTGAGGTGCAGTGACGATATAGTGCATCTCGTGTTTAGCAGGTGAAAGTGCCTTAATGTAAGCATGCAGCTGATGTTAGCACTCTGAGGCATTTGATTTTGAGCCTGTTGAAAGATGGAAGATGTTGCTTACTGCATGCTGCAAAGCATGTCATCCATCGTATTACTCTTCGACATCCGCTTCTTCTAATGGATTTTAGTTTTCCCTCTCTGCGAATGGGTTTCCCTTCTGTGTAGGGAGATGGGCCAGCTGAACTTGCTCCCAAAATGCTATAAAAATCTTTGTCTACAATGTCCAACGCAGCCCCACAAAGAGAGGCAGAGAAAGCCAGACTGTCTAAAAAATTACCACCCCAAATACTGAGATGCAGGTTTGGACAGCTGATCTGTTTTATAAAGACGTACGAGAAACTCTAAGAAAGTTACTCATATATTTGGATAAGTAAGGGCGTGGCTGAGTTGACTGACAGGCAGGCGTGTAGTAGCTATTTGCCAGAAAGCTTAAGGCCCCCCCTTTACCCCTTTGCCTCTTGCTATGTTGATCAAAAGCTAGGTTGAGATATCATCTTGCTCAACATAACACATTTTCAAAGGGATAATATGGGACATTTTCTTTTAAGCATTAAGTTGTTCATTAGGCCAGAAATTTGCCAAATTTCTCAAGCTTTTAAATTCTGCAGAGGATCCTTCTCAGAATGAGGAATTCTGAGACATGAAAAAGCACGACCGTGTCTTCATTTGTTAAATGCAGCACTGGTGACAGTGGCAGAGAAATATACTCCTGTGTGTTTTCCTCTAAAGAACATTAAAAGCTTCTGCATGCAGAGAAATGAGATTACAGGGTGACACAAAGAGTGTCTGAAAGCTTGATTTCCACATTATCTCTGATGTCCATGGCAGAAAATGGAGGGATGATCCAGTTAGAGACAGATACAAATGACAAAAACAAATGTAATCTCTGGAAAATAGACTTCACATCCAGTGCTTCAAAGTTAGCTTTTTTATTGAGTGTATGATCAAAGAGCAGAGTGACTGTCCTTTCACTAAAAAGTTTGAGCGGACTTATCCCAGTAGATGATGGAGCGTAGAGTGCTACAAAGTGGATGAAGAAGCAGGGGAGAGAGACAGAGAGACTTGTGCCAAGAAAGACAATTGAAAGTGAAAAGGGCAGCTAGTGTAAGCAAGGGGAGGGTGGAGAGAGGAAGCCAGTCCATCACTGTCAGGGCTCAGTGCAAAAATCATTAGCTGGGAAGTAGGGCTGCTAAAAAGTCTTTTATTTTTCACTAATGTCCTCCAGTTGGAGAAATGCCATTTTGGAGGAGGCCCACTGTATCCATCAGCTGGAAAAATAGAAAGATCTGTAGAAAGTCCAGCGCTGCTCTAAATGTTTCAATGTGGTTGAACTTGTTCTACACCACAGACAACCTTCACTGTTAATTAGTGAGCACCCATTAAGAAGCAATTCGATCATTGATGGACTCAGAGACAGCTCAGTTTGGAGCTAATTTGTTTTGAGCACAGACTGTAAATAAACATGGACGAAGCCTGACTTACATCACCCATTGATTTCTGAAGGGCTCTCTTGGAAGTCCATGGTGGCTGCCTTATTGGAAATGAGGACTTTCATTCAACCCAGTGACAGGCAAACTGCTGGAGCTGAGGCGGGCGAAGTCTCCTGACATACTGCTACAACTCAGCTGCTTACAGTCAGTTCTGTCAAGCCCCTAATTATGAATAACTTGTATCCTTCATAAAATCAAACTAGGTGAGCATTGGGGTTCATTTTTTAATTAAATTTAGGTTTAATTAAAGGTGAGTAAGGTGAGGGGGTGGTCAGTATTTTTAGATGTGATGGATATGGCATGTCATTTGCAAATCTATCCATCCAAACATTGTTCGTTCATTTTTAACCAGATGAATTAAAAGATCACTTGACTTTAATTTGTAACTTATTGTCCTGTCGTACTTTTTTATTTGTAGATTTAAAATATTTGATAAAAACTGCCCTACATGAAACATGTCGCTGTTTGAAATAACCTTGACCTGAGGCCTTTGTTCTTTTACTTACTTGATGAATTGTGTGTTTGTTGCGTGGCTCTTATATCTCAATGCTCTCTGGTATATAACAGGAAGATCAATAAATAAATCAAAATAATATTTTATTAATGTTAAAAGTAATCATAACTAAGATCCTCTGCAGTAAGAATGTGTGGACAACAGGAACGTGAGGAAAACAAAGGACAAATCCTTCCTGCTTATGATCCAGCAAGCTATCAGCATACTAAAGATTTCCCTGTAGCATAGCTACAGTCTAGTAGTGCTGCTATTAGATTCAGAAGAGATGGTTTGCCAGAAACCCAAATACTGTGTGAAACACGCAGAACACCAGGAACACAGAGAAACTGTATAACCAATAGTTCAACACTTATTTATTAAAGTCATTTCGACATTGGGAGTTGGTGAGGACAAAAAGAGGAGAGAGGATATTAAACATGGATTTGTAGTTGGGTGGCCAGAGACTAGACTCCAAATGTTGCTCCATGTGTGCTGGATTTGTTGAAAGACAACTTTGTGCACTGTTGTGTATGGTTAAGCATTTTGCAACCTATGTTTTAAGCAATGATGTAAAAGTAACGTTTTACTTGCTTACACACTCAAAAAGATTTCAAAGTGCATGGCACATCAAATTTGGTGCACCAAAAATTTGAATGTCCTGTATTGTGCATGTCCCAAGATTCAACATTTCACAGAAAGATATTCATCTTAATGCTTTTCTAAAAAATAATCAAACTTAGTGTTCATAGCAAGACTGTCCTCTAAACATAAAAGAAGACACTGGTGTAATGGCCTTAGGCAACAATCATGATCCTCATCTCATCAATCTCTATAATATTAGGTCATCAACAATTCCCTCGTCTCAGGCTGGTCTCAAATCAGCTCAGGCATTTTTAATGCACTGAAACATCATCAGATAACAGAGTGCATTGCAAATGATTTATTGATGAAGAATCAGATGCTATTAAGGACCCTGATAATGCCAATAAATGTGAATATATGAGCTTATTGAATCTTCAGCGCTGTTTCCATGTACATGTCGAGCATCTATTCATTTTTTTTAAGTGCTAACAAGCTTTGGTAAATGTTTCCAACAGGCCAGATTCTCCTACCTACACATGAAGTACCTGTTCTTTTCCTGGCTGGCAGTGTTTGTGGGGAGCTGGATCGTCTATGTGGAGTACTCGTCCTACACAGAGCTTTGTCGTGGGCACGACTGCAAAAACTCAATAGTGAGTATATTCCCTGCGACTCATGTCTGCAATCCTCAGTTCTCTCTGTTTGTCTTCCAGTTCCCTTTAATGTGATGAACCAATTTGTTTCATTGAATTTTTCAGTGTGACAAATACAAAAAAGGTGTCATCGATGGCTCGGCCTGCAGCAGCCTGTGTGAGAAAGACACTCTTTACCTGGGGAAGTGCTACACGGCCAAGGCCAACAGCCAGGTCAGCCTCTTTTCAATCAAATACACTCACCTTGTTTCTAATCCTGCTCTACCTTACGCTTACTTACTGTGTTTATTTTAGGTTTACTCTGGGATCTGGGGAGATCTGGAGGGAGTCATTAAGTGCCAGATGGAGGAGGCTCCTCAGTATGATTTGGGGAGTGAGATTGAGCACAGGAAGGAGGCTGCGACCTTCAACAAGCCCACCGAGGGGACGTCTGTGGAGAAGTTCAGAGAGATGATCCTCAGCCACTTAAAGGTCATTAAACACTTGATAATTAGAGATGAATCATATTCAATTCGATAACAGATGCAGATATATTCTGGCTCATTGTGGCACATTGCAAATGCAGATCCCAGTATATGTACATATGTTTCTTACCGATATGCAGAGAGAACTCTTACAGTGATGACCACCAAGGAGTTGACGACATAAAATACATTCCTTTAAATAAATATTCAGTGGGCAGAATAGCACAGCTTCAATACACTCTACAGCTACATCTGAAAGATGAAAGAAGATTTTCAGTTTTGTGGATGTATGCTGCCACCTGCTGTAGTAGAGGGAGGAGTGAAAAGTCAACAAGCTGCTCTGCTTGAAGTAATTGTGACAAATCATCTTCAAACTTCTGCCATCATCTTGAGAGACATGCATGTTTGGAGGTGATGAATATATTAAACAGAAAGTTTTAGTCATTTGGACCATACTAATTATGTACTAATATTATGATGTAATCCTAGATTAACTTCAAAGTCTTATTTATCACCAACCTTAAGCTAAGCACTGAAGCCATGTGTGTCCATGAGAGATGGTTTAGCACTTTTCTAGTCTTCTGACTCCTCAAAGTGCTTTTACACCTCAGATCAAATCTACACATTCACACACTGATGGTAGTGGCTGCTATGTAAAGTGACAAGCAGTATTAGCTAATCCATTCATACACATTCATAAGCTGCCTCTGAAGCAGCGAATCCCCGACCATCAGGTTGAGAGACGACCGACTCTACCAACTGACGCTCCAAATTTTTCACAGCCGCATCAAAATTTCCCATCATACGTTGACTGGAAATGCCATTAAACAAACTGTCCAAAGCTTATTTAGCTGTTTTAAGGTTTATTTTCAAACTTTAATTGAGTACTACTGGTGTTTACAATGTGTTTGCATTGGTTTGTTTAGGCTGGACAGTCACGTCCTTTACATCACCAAGTTTGCAAAGAACCCTTGTAATACCCACAGGAAAGTCCACAGAAAATGCAGACTCATGGAAAGCCTTGGTAATGATTTGACAGTGAGACAGCACTGACGCACTAACCGGGAGCGCACTTCAAAGTGTGTGAATGTGGAGATGGGGATGTGCTAGGGCACATGTCTTCAAAATGTTTTCTCTTTCTCTGCAGGCTAAAGCGGGGGATCAGGCCAACCTTGCAGACCTGGCAACCCAAGTATTATCTATAACCGATGCCAATAAGGACGGTCACATCTCCCTGCCTGAGGCCCGCTCCACATGGGCTCTGCTGCAGCTCAATGAATTCCTGTTAGCTTTAGTCCTGCAGGACAGAGAGCACACACCCAAGTTACTGGGCTTCTGTGGAGACCTGTATGTGATGGAGAAGGTGCCGTATTCTCCACTGTACGGGATCAGTCTACCCTGGATCATGGAGGTGTGGATTCCTGCCGGTCTGCGCCGCAGCATGGACCAGTGGTTCACCCCGTCCTGGCCACACAAGGCCAAGATCTCCATCGGACTGCTGGAGCTGGTCGAAGACATTTTCCATGGCACCTTTGGCAGCTTCGTCATGTGCGATGTGAGCGCCAATAGTTTTGGATACAATGATCGTCATGACCTGAAGGTGATGGACGCACGGTACATTGTCCCTGAAGCCACCTTCCAAGAAATCATCAGGCAGCAGCGCTGCGACGTGGACGAGGATTGCCTCTATGGGTCAGACTGCCTCACGTCTTGTGACCTCACCAAGCACCGCTGCACACCTGAGGTCACCAGGCCGAACTTAGCCAAAGCATGCGAGGCACTGAAGGACTATATTCTGAGAGGCGCCCCGTCTGATGTGAGGGAGGAGCTGGAGAAGCAGCTCTACGCGTGCATCGCACTGAAAGGGTCAACGGAACAGATGGAGATCGAGCATTCACTGATTCTGAACAATCTCAAGACTTTGTTATGGAAGAAAATCTCTCACACTAAAGACTCGTAAAGATATGGCATTACACAAAGGCACAGGAAGGATTCCTCCCCCTTAAGAGTTTGTTTTTTTATTATGTGGACTCTCTCCTCCGTGTGGAAACAGAAGTCATTCCATATTTATCTCAACATGTATAACAGTTTATCTCGCAGGAATGTCATTTTCATATGTAATCATATAATAAGAGAGTTTTGTTTTTAAGTTTTCTTTATATAATGAAGTCAAATGAGCAAGTGCAATTTTTGAAACGATGAATAAAAAACATTTTATCTGAAGAACATTTTAACCTGTGTTTAACCTTCTACAGCGACATGTGTGGTGTTCAAATCAGATTTGCAGGAACACGTTTTCAAACTGAAGGTGGAGATTCAGGCTCTCTTTAGTGATCCAGATCATTCGGCTCAGCTCAGTTACAAAAGCTGGCTCATCAGTGACCCATTAATTATAGACAAAAAACACGCTCAACTCACTTTCAACAAAAACGACTTGGTGCTGAATCCCAAAAAAAGATTTTGAAGAAGAAAAATGATAAGGACAGCACTCCAAATTTGATATTTTAATTGCCACATGAATGTTTCAAGCCACGGCTCTTCCTCAGCGTGTGAACAGGCAATTTTTTTCAAAACATCCACGTGATCAATTTATACTTTGTCCAAGATGAGCTCTCCTCCATCACAGAAGTCATTAGTGAGCGATACATCACTAAGTACAAACATAAGAAGGAGGTTTTGTGAAGAAGTATTACAGCCACATTAAGGGGAAAATAATCAGAGATTTGAGATTAAAGTCATACTGATATATTTACAAGAATCTCATAAATTTAAGAGAATCTTTCCTCTGTTGCAGAGAGCTCGGCATGGTTCCACCTGAGTCACAAAGCAAGAACCATTAGCATTGGCAGCTTTAAGATGAACAAGCACACCATTTGGCAATATTTTCCCTACACAGAGAAGAAGCTGATTGGCAAATCAGCATCATCAGGTATCAGGACCTTGAAAAGATATTGAAACAAACCGGGGCTTTTCCAGAGAAAGAACCTCACTGACTTGGAGGAAAGTTTCTCTTTTGCGGAGGAGGAAACAGCTTTGTTCCCCTTTCATCATTTTCTTGCACGCAGATGGCTTCTCTTCCGATACAAGCTTTAAGAATATTAATTCTAACCATTGACTAATTTAAGTTGAAGAAGAAATATATTCTTTTTAATTTACAACTTATATCTCGATGTTAGATTTTGTTTCTTTATTTTGGCTCAACACTCCGTTTTAGTGAAAACGTCTTTAGTCCAGATGTTTGTAACTGCATATCTACCGACTTTCATAAAACAGACAAAACCATGGAATGAGATGTTTTGACCATTTCAGAAGAAAAAAACAACTTTCAAGTACTACATCATCGAGAAATACAGATATAATTTTTTGAATGAGTTAAATCTATATACGCATCAAAATCAGTGCTCCTCCTCTTCATTGATACATCCCAAACTGTGATAAAAAAGAAACTCCCCACACATTTAGCCTACAAGAAATATTTTTCTAGAAAAATTATCTTTGGCATAATGAACATAACTTGGGGTTGTAAGGGTTAACTATGAGAATGGATTTGTATTTAATGTTCATGAACAAGACAGAGAAGGTGAAAAGATGTTTCAGTGAAAGTTCATTATACAAACATCATTTTAAACATTTATGACTTTTTGGTCTCTTAAGCTAGCAAGCGGGAATTTAGGGAAAATTAATTTGAAAAAAAGATACTAATTTGGTTTCTCATTTACTGACAATATCAACTCGTCTAGCATCAAGTGACTTAAGTTCAGTTTTTTTTTTCAATTAATTAAATCTATCACATTATGAACAGTTAAAAAGTAAACTAATATTTAAATAAAATTATACATGAAGTTTATTGTTTTGACTTTTAGTCCACCAACAGTTTGAGAGGATTTTCTAACAGAGCCACAAAAGATCAAACGTGTCAAATTAAACCTCCATCACCTTTTCTTCTAGCAGCGACTACTTCAAATGACCCAACAGTGGAGAGCCAAATGAAAGCTTTGTGTTGAGGTAAACAACTATGCATGACCTAAGTGTATTTTATGACACGCAAAAGGGCCAATGAGCCACTGAAAAAAGGGTCAGTGCAGTATGACAAAGCACACAAGAGGGTCAGTTTCTTTTTCGATAGATTTATTAGAACAAACGATTCTGCACCAGGGAACAGAGCCGAACATCTTAATCTGAATTCTCCTGTTCCTGAGCCCGGAGGAAGCTGGCCTTCTTCTGGGCGACGCGGTCTTTCCTCTGTTCCAGAGAGAGCTTGGCACGGTTCCACCTGAGTCACACAGCAAGAACAATTAGCATTAGCACAAGTTCAAAAGATCGGTTTGTCAGATGTTTCAAGTTATTTTGTACCTTCCAGGTGCCTCAAACAGCCCCGATCTGCATTCCTAAACACACTACTTAGTAATATGCTCCTCACACAGAGCTGCAGTAATACCCTCAGTCAACAATCGCTGCAGCTTTTAACACTTCATTTGACCCTGGAACAATCAGAGCCCCTTCTAAACAACGTTTCTCACCTCTTCTTCTTGATTTCTTTTTGGGGCTTCTTTTCATGGACTGGGTTCTCTCGGATGGAAGCATGAGCCTTCTGGTACATACCCTCAATCTGAAACAAAGAAAATACAGTCAACTTCATGTCTGTTTTTTATTTCAATTCACTCTTCACATTCACCAGCTGGATTATGAAAAATGCTATTACCCAATACAGCATTTTGGCTGATATATTTGTAAGATCCAGTTATGTTCAGGTTGAATACGAGAATTTTAGTTTAATTTATCAAGAAAATCATGTCTTAACATTTCCCTTTTACCATCTGCTCATCCTACATCATGATCTAAGACCCTCAGTGGATGTACCATGATGCATTTGACTGAACTATTCCTGAGATGCAGTTTTCATAATGTTAAGACGAGCAGCTCTTTTTTTTTTTTTTTTTTTTAAAGGGACTGTGTACAATATTAAACATAAATGTTGGATGGTACAGGAGTCAGCTTAGAGCTAGTTCACATCTGCAGTCCCTCTGCAACCAAGCATTCGTTTTCTCTACAAAACCTGAGTGTTAAACCCCATCCATCTCCTGTTCCAACAGTCGTATAACTTAAATACAACATTCAAAATGCAACCTGACGTTGATGTTTGGACTTTAGGTCATTATTAATAAGGTCACAATAATTAGAAATCCATATGGCGCAGCAAGAAGTTCAGCCAGTCTCACAGATGACTGGAGTAGATTCTGAATTATGTACCGATTCATAAATACACTATGAATCCAGAATCAAGAATATATTCTAATCGAATGTTGAGACACCTAAAGATTCCCAGCCATTATGTAATGTACAGGACACGATGCTTCGGGTGATTGAGAAATGCAGACATCACTCTGCTTGTCCTGAAGTGAAACAACACTTTTAAGCCCCGTCTGCTTTACATTTAAAACATCCAAACAGCTGGGTAGACGGTGGTGGTTCAGTTTGTTCTATGAAATATTCATCTCTAGACATAAAACAGTCTTTAATACCTTTAGTCACACCTGTGCACAATGTGAATGTTGTACAAAAAGGCATAGCAGCTCATGAATTCAGTGAATACCATAACATTATCTCAAATTGTACCCAGCTTAGATCAGTATTGTATTAGTATGAAAAACTGTCTGGCTCACACAAACCATCAGAACTTAATCTCAAAACTTGAAGAGTATCTAACTGATGTGTCGTGAAGCATCTACAACTCAAACCGGATAGAAGGTGGGATGTAACTTCGTGTAAGATGTGACTAAGCTTTTTAGTTGGACAAAAAAATAAATAAATCAGCAAACGCCCCCGAGTGCAGGATGAGTCAGACATTTGAAACTTTTTACAGCAGAAAATACGGTAATGTTGATGAAATTTTTTTTTTAATATTTGACAGATTAACATTTAACACAGGAAGGCTGCATTAAAACTTTCAAAATAAAGATAAAATCTCATAGGGACTTTAGGTATATGTAGAATTTGGTTGCTAATGTTCACATTAAAATATGTAGATTCATTAAAAATGGACTAAACCCATGTTATATATACTTTATTGTTGATTACTTCTATTGTGTCAAGTATGTCCAACAGTTCTCAAAGCCAGAGAAGTCTGTAATTCTATAGTTGTAAAGGTCTGTGTCTTGTTGGCAGCCGCCATGACAGACACAAAATGTTTATTGTTGCCAAGGAAACACCGGATGTTACGTCAAAGACCGCTGCGTAAGGAAATGGGAGCTGCTGCTGAAAGCTGCCATACTGTTGCTGTACGTGCGGCTGTGATAAAAACATGTAAATTATACTCAAACATCGTCGGTAAACACATTCTCTTCACAGAGTTTGTTTTTTCACCTGGGAGAGGGGCAGGCGAGTAGCAGAGAGAATCACTCCCATGATTCCCTGCGAGCCTTGTCATCTTTTGTTAGCGTTTTGATTGAGAGCCACCTGGCGGCGTATTTTAAATACTGTGCATTTAAATTGTAAATTGATTAAAACAAATAAATTGTACTTATCAACACATTATTTGATTCACTTAATCAAAGATGATTGTAATTTAAACTCAGCTTAGCCCTCGTTATGGCTGAATTCCAGCTGATTAAGTTACTCAAGATTTATTTTAAATAGTTCAGGATGTATAATAATTCAACAGCAATCATTTAACAAGTTTATATTTATGATAGTGTTTCCTTTCTGACATTTCTTGGTGAGCTTTCCGTGCAGCCTCCTAATATTGTATCCCACTAGGTTGATGTGCAATGAGGCAGAACATTATCAGGAGAATTCACCTCGAGTGAGTGGAAAGGGGTCACAAAGTTTATTTCCTGCGATCGGTGCACGACCATAGACCGTCTGCACGTGATCAGTATGATCACCGTTCACTAAACTCCTGCATTATATTTACCATGGGGCAGCAAGTTATTCTCACCTCTTTTAATGGTGATTCTGTCAAACGACATATCGCATTGATATAAAGAAAGTAGATAGTGCAAATGTGAACACAGATTTCGGAATCCTAAATGTCGCCTGTGAGATTTGACACTTAACAACTGACGGTCTGAATGTCATCACTCATGATCCAAAATGTCCCTGACCACACCTGTTGGAAGACAATGTCTGATCAGTACAATAAACGTGGTTAAATAGGACTTACCGAATCAGCGGTGACGCCATTCTTGATGAAACGGGAGAATTGCTTCTTGTAGGCGTCCTCGTCCTCCTCCATCAAGTAGCTCATGTACTCGGACACGTTGGTGCCCATGATGTGCTTGCGGTGGACCTCAGCGTTGAACTCCTTGCTCTCTGGATCGTAACCAGGGAAGCGTTTGGTGCTGTGGACAAAAGAGAAGAAAAGGTCAATTAAGGACAGGTTACGTGGAATATGTCACAGAGTAATACACCTCCAGGTAAGTGCCGAGGCGGGATTCATTTCACACAGCATTGGAATTTTCAACTCACTTAGCAACGGACCAGAACGACAATTTCAGCCTTTATAGCAATGCTGCGTGTAGTTCTACATATTTACAGTATATACTACAGAGTCAACGAGAACATACTGGGTTAAGAAAACAGCAAATTTGTCTTTTAGCGTTCAAACATGCAGCTCAAAATGTTACGGTGTTTTCATGAGTTATGTGAGTATGTGAAAGGGGCTTTTTGATGTAGGCACACAGAGATGTTGTCAACGTCTTTTTGAGCTTATGATTCTATAATTGGTCCGTTGTGTTTGTAGCTATTCTTTGTATTATGTTTTTAAATGTGAAGGTGCTGCTGTCTTTGACAGGACAATCTGGGGAAAAAAAAGTAGTTTACTCTCAACAAGATATTTGATTCTTGAACTTCTGTTTCAAACACATTTCACAGTTGCAGTCAATACTCATTCAAGTGTAAATAAACAATGGCGGACTCCCACGTTCTGTTTGTGCTGCCATTTATTGAATTGAACACTTCTCCAGGAAAGTGTAGATTTACTGCACCATCACTTTGATCAGCAGATGTTCCAAATACTGAATCCACCTACACGCAAAGCAGCCGTAAGACGATTAGCCACTACTGTATGTTTACACGGCAACAATGTACAAAAAGAAAGGAATGAGAATGTTTCATTATGGAGGTCACACCGCAAAATACTAGCCTTACATGTACACTAGTGTTTCTAGTATTTTTTGTGGATTCACATGCATGTTTGTTATCAAACCGTGTTGCCTCTTGAAGTACAATCTATTTTCACTTTGTGGAGTTTGCTCTCCTACTAGCGACAGCACGGTAGTTTAGCTCTCAGTCTGCAGTTGAAGTTGAGTATGAACACAGCCAGCAAGTCAAGCTGTCCACCCCTGCTGGTCTCTTGTTTTCATTAAGCAAGGAGTCTTTCAATTTAAAGAGAATAGCTGTTGTAATGCTGCAGCTAATGGGGATCCCAATAAACAAAACTAAAACTCCACCAGCTGCACTTACTGAACATCATACCAGGTCATAGTCATGCATTCTTTAAATGGATGATTAATAAAGACAACTCTTCAAAAGTGACCCAGCCAGCCTGGTCTGCGTGTCTGCATGCTTGATCAGTGACCCTATTTAACCTCCTCCACAGTTCAGGTGTCCATGATTCGCAGATCAATGAAGAACATGGTGTTGCAGTAGCCTGTAATTAATAGGCCTCCTACTGCTAAGTCCCTCTGCAGAGTCTGAAAGTAAACATGGCAGCTCGTTGTGCCGTGTAGACCGGCCATACGAAACGAAAGAAGCAAGTCTTTTGAAATACATCTTAAACGGACTTTCACACTGAAATGGATCATAGTGTTAATATTTCAAACACTGTTTTGTCTTCTGATCACTCTCAGCCTGTCTCTCATGAAGGTTACAGCTGGTGGTTGCGTGTGACATCACTCAGTAGCTTCATGTTAGTAACATTACATCCTACTATTCTGTTTTTTGTAAACTTAGACAAACTCTGTTACGTATTCGCTTATCTTTATGGGGTTGCAAACTAAAACAGTTGCTTTGTGCATTGGAATCAATGCACGCAGCATTAGGTGGTTGTCTATTGCAGTGGTTCTCAACCGTTTTGAGTCATGCCCCCCCCAACAAAAAAAGCTTTGTTGTTGGTCTCACATTAACAGAGAAGCCGCATATTCACAACGTCACACGCTGTGTGTGCACGACTACGTGTGTGTACGTGTCACAGACGCATTAACAAACAAATTCACAGACTGAGTCACCAATATGAACGTACAAAGACATAACGCCTGCAGAACTTCTTTACTGGGCCTCTCTACCGGCTTTCTGTACGTCTCTTCATTTGTGAACTGTCCAGCTAAGGCAAAAAATGCACAAAACATCTCTAAAACAAGAAAACAATTCCAACCAAATATAAAAATAAATAAAAAAACATCTCTCTTATGCAACTCACACCACACGTAGCACATCAGATCCGACATTACCTGTGTGGGATGGACAGACCTCCATCCACGGCCCCCTTCAGAGCACCGAACACCTTGTTGCCTGTGGTGGTTCTTGCAAGTCCAGCATCCAGGTAGCAGGTGAAGGCACCGGGCTGACCATCGATGCTCTCAACGTTGAACTCGTCGCCTGTGACCTCGACCTGGCCTTCATACACCTTGTCCAGGCCAAACTTGTTCAGCAGCTGCAGACAAGACAAGTAAACACTGAAAATCAGCAACCAAGAAGTGCACTCAACGTGACCTCCTTCGCTTTCACAGTGTCCTAACTCACTTGATCTTCAAGTCTATACTTACTCTGCGAGCCAGCAGCAGACCAGTGCAGTAGGCTGCTGCGTAGTTCGTCAGACCCACGGAGATACCGTATTTTGGCAGCTCGTGTGAGTATGCTGCACACACAATCATGTCACCCTCAATCTTGGCATAAGCGATCTGCAACACAACGAGAGAGAGAGAGAGAGAGAGAGAGAGAGAGTCATGAATTGACTCTGATTGAAAGCTCTGATGTACGTGCTGCAACAGTAGAGGAGTTGAATTACATCTCCAACAAGTGAGAACACTTCACATCTTGATTGGATGTTGAACAATTTAATTCATATTGAATTGTCTGAGCTACATGCCAGCAGGTATGTCGGTCTCTTACACTCTTATAACTCACTGATAGGAGCAATGGAGCCCACCCCTCTTACCTTTGGAACAACACAGATTAATCTAAACGTTGCTCACCTGGCAGACGATGTCCCTGTTGGAGAATCGGACGATCATCCGGTACTTGGGTGTGTTGTACTTGTTCTTGTCTTGAACAACCAGGCGCTTACGAGCAAAGAAGTCAGTCTTGCCCTCTGAAAAGATCAAACACATCGATTACCTCAAGATATAACAAACAATACACCTAAATGGTGGCAACAGGACGACTGTCACAGGTGGTCTTACCCCTCCTCCTCCTGAATTTGACCTGATACCTCTTGAAGTAGGCCTTGTTCTTCACCACTTTAACAAAACCCTACAGGAAGACATGCACAGGGTCAGCATCAGAGACTACACAGTTAATAACAGTGGCTGACTTCAGGTGAGTTTCCTGTGTTGCAGTGTGGAGCTGTCACTGTCACGGGGTAACGCTGGACCCGGCTAACACCAGCTAGCTCATCAAATGGAAACGAACGACAAGAGTTAGCATTCTGCTACACAGGGTTTACGATCAGCTAACAGGCTAATGGTAAGTGGAATTAAAAGGAAAATCAGGGGATCCTAACTAAGGCAAAACACACGTAACATGCTAATGAAGAAATCAGAGCAGAGCCCTCTCCAGACAGGAGGAAGCAGTGAGTTTGTGAAGGCAGCCATTAGGCCACGTTTGAACGGAACCCGGGTGAGCATTAGCTGGAGTTAATCTAACTTCATCTGAACAGCAGCAGCATGTTTTCACACGTTTGACACACCGCAGCACACAATGTATGTCGTAGGTACAAATGGAGGCGGATATTGGGGTGGATTACAAACCATTTTGCAGTCTTTTTGTCTCCTTATGAAGGAGCCCGGAGCCAAAGACTGGGGCTTGACTCCGCTGCACTGGAAAAAGGAAGTTCGACGTGCGCATGCGCCGTAAATAGCGTGTCACAGGATGAGCCTCCGAGACGCCATGCTGCAGAGGATTCACAACTCTGCCCCCTATCGACCTGGGGCGGACATTTATATATAAAAAATAATACTTCTATTCATTTTTAAGCAGAAAAGGCTCTAACTGAGAATCATATCTGACCATGATACCCTTCAGTAGTCATTTTGCCATTTCACATCTACATCCGCTGCATGGTTTTTAAATGTTTGACACCGCAAAACATCCAGCCACAAAGGCCTATAAAATGGATTGCATTCATTAGCATCAACCTGTCTCAATAAAAGAACACGTTTCCTTTTTAATCTCATTAAGACAAATATATTCAGTGTTTTTATTCCCTCATACTGTCTAATCATTTTCCACGTGTCTTTACTTTATACTTCATTTCAGACCCATAGGTCCATGTCATCACTACAGTTTACAGTTTGTCAGTCAAAAATGGGAGGAGAAACCTTCACATTAATAACGTCATTCAGTCTAAACTGGTCACCATGATGTATTTTAGCGTATTCAATGGGTGAATTTGATTGGACATAAGGTCAAAGGTCGCTTTTCATGGTTTATTTTTCTCACACAACAACAGGCAATTCCCGAGGAGACTGAAGGGTGCTGCTGGCCTGGGCTCCTCAGTCCTCACATCAGGTGTGTGCAGTTGGTAGTGTCCTCTCATCCTGCACAGATTGGTACCACAGCTGTTCTGCTGCAGACAGGAAATGACTGCAACATGTGGGGAAGTCAGCGAAGAGGGTTTCCGGCATTAGTCTACCCATCAGTGACATTTACACCAGCAGGTGCAGGAGCAGGGGCGCGGCAAGATAATGTTGGACAACTCCTGGCATAATTGCTCAAACCACACCCCCATTATGCGAAAGACAATTATTAGCTTTCATAACTTTAACTTTGTCTGAACAGATGGCTCTGCTAAACTCTTAAAGCTACCTAAACACTCTCTTGACGCTTGACATGTAAGAAAATCATCACAGCCAAGTTATTCTGTTTAAAGACCACACAGCTACTTAAAAAGTGGAATAAAAGAAAAATATAAAATATATTGCAGTTTAAATAAATATTAATGAATTAAGCTATGTGCTAAAATCACATTTCTACCAGTGAAGGACATAGCTTGCATTGCTCTTATTGCAATATGTATATTTTATATGATTTGTACAGTATATAGCTCCTACGTTTTTATTTTCTTCTTACATGATGAGATTTACAGGGCGGGATGGTATATACACTGATTTGATTTATTTTCTGTAAAAATCACAATATATATAAAATTTACAAAATAAAAAATAACACCTTTCTGTCATTGGGATTGTCTTTAAGCATGTTTATTTATTTAATCAGTCCCAATGAATTGATGATCTTTCAACCCTACCAGATTTTAAAATCCTATTTCAAGCATTGCATAAAAAGAGAGGGGGCCGTTAAGCGATACAGAGGTGGCCTTGAATGTCTTTTTTGCAATAAAAATAAAATCAGAAAATAGAAATAAAACAGATATTTTTTATCTCATGTGAAGACAGTCTTCTCTTATGGCGACGGCATTATGATTTAAAATGAGGAAAAAACAATTGATTTCATATTTTTAAGGCCCCTGTCATTCACGGACTCTTCCCTACTTCTCCCCCATACGATGCTACTCCTCCACAGGGGTGGGTCAAGGTTTTTTCGACTGGGGCTCTGACTTATGCAGGGTGGCATATGTTTGCACACACATGATTGAATTTCATTTATTTACCTATCTACTTCTAAGTAACAAAAAATCATGGTGACATATAAATCGTCATAGCTTTATTTTAGAACTCAAAAATATGATGTCCAAAGTCAAAAATAATTGCATGCAAACTGTCCAGGAGTTTGAAGGATTGAAATAGATGTGCAAGGAAACATTTACAACTTAAAACACTAGAAGATTAGAAAAGATGCTACTGCTAGCAGCCTGTTGAAACACAGTCCACATTGTGGATTTTAACATTAGTCCCACCTCTGACAAGGCACATAGATAATCAGAGTTATGGATTTTTGGGGTGGCCACCCCTCTGGACACACCTCTGCTCCTGCAGCATTAAGGACCCACCTTTTTAACAAAGCCTTCTGCTTGTGCTTTTAGTTTTGTTAGTTGCTTCGTTGATTACATTTGTTTTTATTTCTATTTTGTTTTTCTTCCTGTAGCACTTTGAGATTGTTTTGCAAAAATGTGTTACAAATTAAATGTATTATTATTATTATTTCAGCAACAAGGCAATACATAGAGCTTCACACACAACACCAAAAGCATCATGACAAAGAGAAATAGAAACATTCAAATAGGAAATGTAGAATTAAAAAATCACTAAAACATGCAACTAATAATCACAGAAACAATGAACTCTGAAAATGTGTCTGTCATCAGCTTCAAAGAACCACCGTGCACCAAAGAATCAGGAGCTCTGAAGTCACTGACCACAGAGTCTCACCGTCCTGTCAGACACAGATTCACCTGCTGGTCTAATAGAAATTAAGTTTAACAATCCACCTCAGATTGTCTTCCAGAGGATTTAGGCTCCCAGTGTGTTCTGTCTGTATTGAGTCACAGCTCACAGGCTGGCACAGACATCCAGTTACCCCCCCCCCCCCCCAAAAGCAGGGGCACCACACACTGCCCAACTTTCAGCAATTGCAACTTAGAATGCCTAGAATTTGTCGGAAAACTTAATAAAAAGTAATTAATTGAAATAAAAAAGCAAAGTTCTTCTTTTTTATTGTTCAGTTTGTGTTTATACTTTCTTTTATTGTATAAAGTTAATGTTTTTACTATCATATTTTTGTAACTTATATTATTGCTCTTTTTTATTATTGGGACCTGAGTACCTAATTGCAGTCCTTTTCATGTAGCTTCATACATTGTCTGGAATGACAATAAACCTTCCTTGTATAAAAGATGTGTATTTTTCCATGTTCTAGCTGTGAAGTCAGAGCATCACATTTGCATAATGATTTGTGCAGTTAATCTGCCACACAAGCCCACATCAATAACATGCTGTTGAAATAACAAAAAGGTCCTAAACCTAAGACCTCAATGTAAAAAAAAACAACGTCTATTTAGGGTCAGTTACACTGAAGGGTTTGAAACCTCTTTCATAAAATGTAATCCTACCTTCTCCTGAAATGATTCAGAGTGTTAAGTAACTAATAGCATGGGAGTGTATCTGGGTAAATGGGTGTGACAGAAAGCAATGCTAGTCACAGTTAATGAGTAATGTTGTCAAGTTTATATTTGGTGCACCTGCCACATCATGATACTGGCCTTTAACTCACCCAGAACACAGCTGGTGGAACAAAGATCAGCAAACTCACAATATGTTCACAAAAAAATATTTTCACTTTTAACTTTCCAAAGTTTATAAGTTAATTAATTAATTATTTCTCATTTTATTCTTTATGGGTGTGAGTGGCTCTGTGATTTCTTCTAAAACTATACGTCATGACAGAGAATGATTACATCACTGTGTGTATTGCCTTTTTTACGCCATTATTTAGAGACAGGGCAGTGGAAAGAGTTAGAAATCAGGGAGAGAGAGAGAGAGAGAGAGAGAGAGAGAGAGAGAGAGAGAGTGGGGAATGACCTGCGGGAAAGGAGCCACAAGTCGGATTCAAACCGGGGTTACCCGCTTGGAGGACTACAAACTCTGCGCCCCTTTTTCTTGATATTTTGACCTTTTTTTCTCTGGGTTTTGACTTATTCTCCAAATAGTATATCAACTTTATTCTTGACCATTTCCCCCCTTGTATGTCTGCTTTATTCTAGACATTTAAAAAAATATTTTTCTCTTTCTCTTGATATTTTGACTATTTCTCTACATTTTGACTTTTTTTCTTTGAAGTGATAAATGAAAAGAAAAACTTCCTCCTGTCATTATTTATGTCTGATGTCCGGCCCTAATCCTCCTCCATAGCTGAGATTATTGTGACAGGGTATATCACAATGAGCGGCCGACAGTCTCTGCGTTGCTGCTAACTTGAGCCTGTACGACCTCATCTGCTTTTCAGCCTCTTATGAGCACAGGAGTGTCAGATGAACAACAAAAGACATGCGTCACTGCTCACATGTGAAACCAGAAAAGTAGGTTTTATGACAGTTTGGTATGTAAATCAAGGTCGTCTGCTTCGTCACATTTTCACTGGAGTTATTTTGCGCTGATGTGATAACTTGATTGTTGGTTTCTGTTGACTTCTCTTTAAATGAAAGTTGGCTGTGAAACATACCCTTTGTAGCATTTTATAGATTTTAACTTTGTTTCCTTTTTGCCAAATCTTTATTTAGGTTTGATTTATTTACTTTGGACTAAACCATACGGACTAAACCGGCAGGGTTTTTTTTTTTTTTTAAATTGACCATGGTATGTTTTGATATTTCTCCACAGCCAACATGGACTAACTAAAAGACCACTGAGACAACCAATTTTCAACCTTCAGTCTGGTCAAACAGAAGAATTATATCTCTCAGCAATGAACTCCAGGTAAGTTATGGAGATCAGATAGATAATCTTACACTAGAGAAGTACAGGAAGCTTGAAACTCTTTTCTTTGACTTACACACTCATGATGTCCTGAGCTGTAGGCCTATATGGTCTCTTTATAAACTATGTATTTTGTTAAAGTCTCTGACCAAGTTAAACACAAACTAAAAGTAAAGAGGTCATTTGTATCATGGTGACATTATACTTAACTTTCAAGATGCTACTTTTTTTTACCTCCTCCTTTCTTAACACACTGTGTTTATTTTTCTGACATTTTTTTGGTCAAGTGCCGCCAATTATCATAGTTCAATAACAACCTACATTACGCTGACCTCACCCCCTTGATTACCATACAAGCGAAGCACTCCCTTTTTAAATAATTTTAAGCGCTCTCATTATGAGAAATTGCTTGGTCTTTCTTTTTTTTTTCCTGCAGTGGGTTTAATACCAATAACTCTGTTTCTGTTTAAAAATTATGATGATTCAGTCCTGAATTCAACATAAGGTGTTCAGCAGTGAGATAAATAATTACACCTCTGCTTGAGAAAGCTTCTCATTTCCACAATACACTTACATTTATTTTTGTTTATTTAGAAAAACTTCATTTTCATTCTTCTTCTAAATCTGAAAATGAAAAACTCTTAGACCTGCAGTTCCA